CATAGGGTGAAAAGTTTAGGTTATTTGAATTTTGAAATGTTGGGGAATTGTCGTTAAAAATACTAGTATTGGTTTTTGTTAAGAAATCTTCTATTTTACCTTTAGTGTCAGTTGGTTCATTTCCCCAAAGAGGGCTATGGGCATTAAAATCTCCCAACACGATGAAGGGTTGTGGGAGCTGGTCTCTGAGGTTTATTAGTTCTCTTAAAGATAGAGGATAATTTGGAGGGATGTATATTGAACAGATAGTTATAGGACGGTGTAGGGTGACCCTGACCGCAACTGCCTGAAGTGTTGTGTTTAGTTGTATTTGTCTGTGTAGTGTTTGGTTATTTATTAAAATGGAGTTGCCCCCAGAGGCGATTTGGTTGTCGGTGTATATTTGGTTGTAAGTTTGATAGTTTTTAATGTGAATGTGGGTGTTGGCAATTTAGTTTCTTGTAGACAGATTACATTTGGGGTGTGTGAGGTCAAAAGATAAGAGAGTTCTGCCAAACCGCCAATGTTCCACTGAAGAACTGCCATTTTTATTTATTTTGAGGGCACGGGTTCGGTAATTTTTTTTGGGTCGTTGGTGACCTTTGTCTTTGTTTTGTTTCGGTCACGGTGGACCGCAGCTTTTTTTGAAGGAGAGTGTGGAGAGGGAGGAGGACCGGAGTCCCGGATGCGGGTAGAAGAGGGGGAGCGGGTGCGGGTAGAAGAGGGGGAGCGGGTGCGGGGAGTGGGTGGAGGGTCATTATTGGCTGAAGGATGATAGGATGGAGGTTGAAGCAATGAGAGTGTAGGATGTGGTGATTTGTGCGAGGATGATGATGGTGTGGATGTTGTGGGTGAAGATGATGATGGGGGTGATGATGAGAATGATGAGGGTGAGGATAATGAAGGGGGTGAGGATGAAGAAGATGGCTGAGAGGGTGGTGACAGAGATGCCAACCACAGAAAACCGAAATGAGTATTGGGAAATATGAAAATGTGTATTTTCAGGGGAAAATGTGTATTCCCCACGACCGACCAACTAGTAATAGTAAAATTTACTAGCTCACCAGCTCGAAAAAGGGAGCACACACGTGTACAATATACATGTATCCAGTCAACAACATGTCAGTGTTCAATGTCGTACAGGGGTCTTGTTTGACTTAAGTATTTCAATCTATTATATATTTTCCTCTCATTATTATATAAAAAATAAATCCTGCTTTGAGAGTTCAATTAACTCGGAAGGGCCTAGAACAAGAATTTCGACTATCAAGAACCAGTCTGGGTGTCATGATTCATATTATGAACTGACAGACTCAAATTATTGCTCAAACTCAGAGAAGAGCAATAACTTGAAAGGCTCAAGTAGACCCGTGCACTGTGAGAGTTGTAACAACTGTGAGAGGGCAAGATGCAGTGACACTGAAAATCTGCCAGTCCTGAACAGAAAGCTACAACATACACCATAGGTATAATTTACTATCACCCATCCAAGTAGATGTAGGTATAATTTACTATCACCCATCCAAGTAGATGTAGATCTAGGTATAATTTACTATCACCCATCCAAGTAGGTATAATTACTTTCACCCATCCAATGAAACGCGAACACTTTATTTCAATAACACAGACTTGCAAAGTATGAGGGGTCCCGATTCCGCACACGGCCTGCACCAACGCGAGCTTAGCAGAAAGCTCTAATAAAAATTCTGAAATGCACTTCCAAGTTTTTGTCCTCTGGTGTTGCCTTAAACACCCCCCCCCCCCCCCCCCCCCCGAAAGATCTTAAACCCCAATAAAATCAATAATCTCCTCCCATATTCCGTGGTCATATACTTCGCAACGCCATTACTCCCACCAAAGACAGTCTTTTACTCACACGATGCCGTATTTATTTATGACGCGAATGCGCGCAGGTTCAGTGACCGTTCACGATGGCGAGCCAGACAATCTAAAAATCGGACGACGCTTGTATTTTCTTTTCTTTTTTTTTTCCACAAGCGACAGCCAAAGCGACGAGTCCGAGTGTTTATTACATTTTATTTGCACGGCGACATTGCGTTTATACTGCACTACCTGCATGCCACAAATGTTGCGTTATCAGACAACTGCTGGCAAACTTCTTGGTGGTAGCGAAAGCGAAAGTAGATCTTGATTTTCTCGATTGGGCCTCGGTGTCACATACGATTCCGCCTGCCGCCATAGCTGCCTATACGCGTGAAAGTGAAACGTACTCTCCGGACGCGGAAAAGCTGAACGAATATAATATCACGATCGCGACCGGCAAAAATGA